TCATTTTGGGTGAGCTTTGGTAGTTTTGTTTTCAAGATATTGGTCGATTTCATCTAAATTGTGGAATTTATGTGCCCAGAGTTTTTAATATTGCCTTATTACCATTTTAATGCCTGTGTGATCAGTAGTGATGTACCTTCTTTTATTTCTGATATTAGTGATTTGTGTGTTGTTTCCTTCTTGGTTCACCTGGCTAGAGGTTTAGCAATTTTATTGTTCTTTTCAAAGAACCAAATTTGGTTTCATTATTTTTTCCTATACATTTTTCTTTTCTGTTTTAAAATTCTTTGATCTCTACTCTTCATTGTTTCCTTCATTTTGCTTGCTTGGTTTATTTTTCCTTTCTTTTTCTAGATTCTTAAGGTAAAAGATTAGATTATTGTCTTGAGATCTTTCTTCTCTTCTAATGTAAGCCTTTAATGCTACAAATTATCCTCTAAGCACTGCTTTAACTGCAGCCCACACATTTTGGTATGTTGTATTTTCATTTTTGTTCACTTCAAAATATTTTCTAACTTCCCTTGAGACTTCCTCTTTGATCCATGGATTATGTGGAATTACATTCCTTAGTTTCTGTGTGTTGGAGATTTTCCTGTTATTTTTATTTCATTGATTTCTAGTTTAATTCTATGATTAGAGGATATACTTTCAATTATTTTAAATTTGCTAAGGTTTGATTTATGGTGCAGGATACAGCCTATCTTGGTGAATATCCTATGTGTACTCAGAAAGAATATTCTATTATTTACTTTTTAGAATCTTCAAATAGTTGCTTCATGCATTCTGCTGAGGTTTATAGCTGCACTCATTGGGAAAGACAGGGTAGAGTATGCTTATTTCATTTTACCCAGAATCAGAGGCTTCTGTGTCAACTTAGCTGAAACTTTTGTTAACTGATAAATATTAGATTCTGAAATATTCCACATAAGTATCCTCTTATGGTTCAAAAAACAATAAATTAGCTAAAATATTGATGGTGAAAATAACTGATTTCTTAATAAATGCTCTCTCCTTTTCTGTAAAATGGGATAATTAATAACTTGTCCTATGTCCTTCAAAGGCTTGTTTGTCATATCTTAGGTGGGCATAGATATGAGACTTGCTCAAACTTTATCAGTAAGTTAGAGAAGGGAAAAGGAAGGATCTGGATGGGATTAGGACTCAAGGAAGTGATTTGGCTGCAAGCCTGACCCTGCACAGAGATGATCATCTGGGGTTTGTGCCTTGCCATTAATGGCCAAGTCTTCAGTGGGTAGGTCGTAGCAAAGAGCATCTTTCAACCAGGAATGAAGCAGGTGATAGCAGCTTCATGGTTACCGGAGGATTATCCAATTTGGAGCAAAACCTTACAGGGGACAAAATGCAGGCTCCTGGTAAAGAGTGCTGATAAGCACCAGGTTGAAAGTCCAAGCCCCAACCAGGCTGGTGGGCTTCAAAGCGTGGCTGTGATTTGGGTATGGAGCTGTATGTGGAATCAGGAAATGGAGGGAGAAATCCAGTCCTGTGGCCTGATGAAATGCTGCTGTGGAGAAGGAAGGCTGAGCCAATGATGGTTCAGATATAACGCCAGCCTTGGAGCAGCAAATCTAGTTTCAGCCCGTTACCCGCTGGCCCACTGAGAGAATCCAGTAGTCAGGGCTGGCTCAGAGGTGAGGAGATCCTGAAGCTTATTAAGCCTAGAGAATGCAGACAATGGAAGGATCCATATGCAGGGGTAGATGTTAAGCACATATTAACAATCACCATTAACGTTTTTGCTGATTACGTAGAACTAAGTCCATATTTGAAACTTCTTGCTAGATGATATGAGCATCCAAATTGTTATACTGGGAAACCATTAGATTAAATATGAGAGAAGTACCAATACCTAAGAGGGGAAGTATGGAAATGGTCATGTAGTAAGTAAAACAGATAATGCTGAAAGGCTGACTGGGAATTTATTATATGTAGGTTCCAATCATCTGAATCAAGAGCAGAGTCCCATAAACCCCATCACAATAATTTAAAGCTAGGTTGTAATCAGACCATGAGAAACCACGCATTATCAGGCAGGTTCCTTTGAGTGTCTCCATCTTTGAAAATACCCAGTGCCGTCTCCCCCAAAAAAACAAGAACCAAAAGTGTGTTACTAGTCACAATAATAAAATTCTGAGGCAGATTGCAAGACGGTATTAAGTGAACCAACCAGTGTTCTCTGAGAGGTTGTAGACCAGCCAATCTCCTCCCACTAACCTTGGACCTTTAGTCTGTTGAAAATCAGCCTGCATGAGCATGTTTTCTTTTTAGTCTGCTTTATTCTATCTCATCACAGGCAGGACGGACCCTAGATTTGTGTTTGCACACAGGTTATCTTTAGATTAGCTTTACCTAAGTGACCTGACTCTGCTGCCTCCTGCATAATCCAGTTACTCATGGGAATATCAATTAAGGCCCTCAATCACACTAATTAGAACGTCTTCTAAGTGTTGCTTTAGGAATTCAGCAGCAGCAGCAGCTTATAAACAGGCAAACTGGGAAAATCTAGAGGTGTGAGATTTTTGCTTTTGTTTTTTTAATAGCCAAAAGCAATTTGGGAGGCTAGAGTGCTTCAGCTTAGCTGAACGTTTGGGGCTGAAATTACTGCGCCCTGAATCTGCAGTGAAATATCTAGTTGCTCTCCATGGACAAGGGTTAATGCAGAATTATTAATTACTTTTATTAATGACTTGGCTGTGGACATAGGTGGCATTCTGATCAAGTTTAGAGATGGCACAAAGCTAGGAGGATAACAATTATTGTGATGACAGACTCTGGAGCCAAAATGATTTCAAGACAGAATTTAGTGGCAATCCATCCAATACATGCCTGGAAGAATGGTCTCCATAAGGCACAACGTGATGATCACATCAGTCCTCCAATCAGAAACCTTCAGTGCTTCCCTATTTACTGTTTAAATTAAACCCCAAGTCCTTAGCCTTCTGTTCGAGGCCTTGACATATTCTCATCCTAATACTCCATACTTTCCAACAAAATCTCCTATAGTTCTTTTCCTAATACTTCTTTTCCTAATATCCTGTGCTTGAGCCAAACTGAATTATTTATAGACTATTTCCTATGTATGTTTCATGCTTTCCCTATCTTTGAGCATTATTTTCCACTGAGTTTCTTTGGCTCGCACTTTCCTTCTGCCTCAATTCTAAATTTACAGACCAGTTCTTGTTCAGTTAAACTCTACCTTTTGTGTTTAGTCTTCTTTGATTGCCTTGGCTAGAGTAATCTCTTTCTTTTGCTAATCTTCAATAACATTTATCTGTTCCTCTCCGACTCTTTTTATCACTGTTTTCTTTGTATTTTAGGGTTTTTTTTTGTACACGTTTTAAGTCTCGGCTAGATTCTGCCTAGTGCTAGAACTTTCTATCTGATAAATCTTTGCATATCCTATAGTACCTCTGTGTGTGATTGTTCATAGCTGATGATGTTGAAGTGATTTGCATGTGGTTTATCTCCTCTACTGGGGAGAATTGCCTTTAGAGGAAGCCCTACATCTTGCTCTCCAGAGTCCCCTGCAATTATAGCATAGTGACTTGTAAACAGAAAGTGCTCAATACATGTTTTATTGAATAAATGAATGACTGAAGGAGAGAAGAGTTCCTTAAGGTAATGGCATAGGAATTGGAAGGGAGTGGTAGTCGTAAGAGACATTCAATCTGAGATAAAATGGATGTTTAAGATATAATAAACTCACTTGTGGTTTGTGTACAATCATGCTAAAGAAGGAAGTACAATATGTACTAGAGATTTTTGGTGATATGTGATCAAGAGAGGTAACAGGCACTAGAAACTTGCATTGTCCTTTAAAGTGACCACACATTCTGGATTCCTCAGATGGTACTAGTTTATACCTTTTGTTTCAGTGTAGCACTCTTAAAAGTCTCCCATTTTAAATGCTGTTTTATGATCACCCTATTCATCAAATACATCCTTGACCTTTTTAGACTGCTGTGTCCCTGTGGTTGTGAAACTTGTGGCATAGGCTAATGTTTGGGATAATACACTTGTAATTAGCCAGACGTGGGTATAAATCTCATCTCACTTACTAGAAATATGATCTGGACAAATGACCAAGACCTCTGTAAGCACCCTTATATGACTATTGTGTTCAAAACAGAAAGCAGAAGTCTTGAATATGGAATTTCTCAGTAATAGCCAGGTTTCCCTATTTATAACCCTACAGAGGTTTTATCAGGGGCCAGATATGTTGAGGGTAGTAGGGAAATAAATATTTCACAGAGTTGTTAAATCTCCAGGCCTTCTGTATTTAAGATCACACAACCAAATGTAAGGGCATGGTTCTTGCTAGCTGGCTGTCTCAGCTGGTTATCAACAGAAAGGCTAAAGATCATAGAAATTGGACTCCAGCCTCATCATTTGTCTCTTCTGGTGAGAAGAGGAGAGCAGGCACAGCAGGGCATGAAGTGTATATATTTCCTCTTGGTATAAATTCAGAGTGTGGGGGACTGCAGACCAAGTCTGAATCCAGAATTTCTAGACTTTCTATTCTTCACTAAGAAGAAAAAGTGCCTGGATCATAAAATATTTCCAATCGGTCATAGAGTAAGGGAATGAAGAGAAGTGTAAGAAGATCAAATTCATCTGTCAGAAATGTGACTCCTGGTAAAAAAAAAAAAAAAATCCAGAGGGTTTTTAAGCAGACAGTTACAGTTCAGTGATTAAGAGACAGTTTTGGAGCCAGACTGCTGGAGTTTGATCATTACTCTACCACTTTCTAGCCAAAGGAGCTGGGTTATGTTATTTACACTTGTCTCAGTTTACTTATCTATAATATGGGTGTTAGAAAAAAAGGCTTATCTTATTAGTTGGTTCTGGCAATTAAATTTATTAATATTGTAAAACTCTTAGAACAGTTCCTAGTCTATAGTCAGCATGCATATGCACTAATTATTAGTTAAGGACCTGAGAGTAATAAGTACTCTCCCTTACCTTTGTATTTATGTTGACAGGATGGGACTTCTGTGGTGTGTAATGAGCCTCTACTTTTATGGAATCCTACAAAGTCATGCCTCAGGTAAGTGAATGGCTTTTGACAGTCTATTGAAATGCAAGTCATGCATAGGGTAATGTATCGACTCTTTCTGAAAATGAGTTAAGAGAACATTATGTTGTTTATTTCCAGTCTTCTGTGGTAGCACAGAATCGTAGGTATGAGAGAATCATAGAATTTTGGTGATGGAAGGAACCACTGACATCCCTGGTCTGCATGGGACACAGTACACTTGGGACAATGGTATGGTGTATATTAATATAAGAATTTTCCATCACCTTCACATCTAAGCCAAGTAGAGTCCTGCTCCTTTCCCTTAACTAGGGTCCTATGGGAAAAGAAATGGTAATGATGGTAGAATGACTCTGTTTTCCAAACTTGAGCCAGTAGTGCAAAAGGCCTCAGTGGTAACAATCCATTGAGACCTTATAAGAACAAATAAATAATGATGGGTTTCTGTCATGCTGCCTCTATCTAGGAAAGAAAGGACCTGTCATTAGGCTCATTCTTTCTTTGGATGTTGCTTCATAAGAGGAGCCAGCCAAAGCCTTTACTAAGTTTGAATAACTGAACTCAGTCATCATGGACCTGGATCATATGAAATCAGAGTTACAAGGGACTTGAAAGTTCATCTTTTCAGGTCTCCTCTCATCTCCAGAATTACTGCTCAGAACCATTTGATGGTAACTCTAACACATGATCATCTAATGCAGCCCATTATGTCTTTGCACTGATCAAATTCTTAGAAACTTTTAGAATATATAACTGAAATTTATCTCTGTCATACCATAAATTTCTTTGGTTCAGCTGCTTGATTTAAATAGAATATACCGGTCCAATGGTTCTCTAATTTCAATTCAGGAAACCTAGATATCTTCTTTTAAAAAAGCTTCCCATGGGGGCTGGCCCGGTGGTGCAAGTGGTTAAGTGCACGCACTCCGCTGCAGGAGCCTGGGGTTCACCGGTTTGGATCCAGGGCGCGTACCAATGCACTGCTTGGCAAGCCATGCTGTGGCAGTGTCCCATATATAAAGTGGAGGAAGATGGGCACGGATGTTAGCCCAGGGCCAGTCTTCCTCAGCAAAAAAAGAGGAGGATTGGCAGATGTTAGCACAGGGCTGATCTCCTCACAAAAAAAAAGAAAAAGCTTCCCATGTATAATCTCCTGAAGACCACGGACAGTACTTTGAATGTCATTGCTTTAATTCCTCTTCTATGTGAGAGACCTTCAGACATGTTAAAGTAGTGATCGTATAACCTTGACCAGTGTTGTCCAGTAGATTTCTTCAGCTGTTCTTCACGTGGCATGGATTTGAGCCCTTACCATCCTGATTATCTTTTCTGGGTGTGTTTTAGTTTTCCTATGCCACTTAAAGCATTTTATTGGAAGACAAAAATAGCATGAAAGGAGGCATATAACTAGGGCAGAGTATAGCTCAAAGCTGAGAGAAGTAGGGATGACTTCCAACATTGTTGGCCCTTGGGGGCTTCACAAAGGAAAGCATGTATCATAACCAGGGCTGATATTCAGCTGGGATACACTAGTTTACAGCTCTACTGGCTGTTTAGACCAGCAGCTGTCCTACCTGATTGAGGGTCTCATTTGACTGGTCAGTGCTGTGGTGTCCTGACTTTTAAACATGTTGAATATAACCCCTGATTATAATTGGTTCTTATTTGATTTAGTTCTATGCTTGAGTGTTATCTGCTTCTAGAGGTCTTCCTTAACCATCTTAACTAAAATAGCCCTGCCAGTCACTCTCTATTCCTCTATCCTGCCTTAGCTTTCTTCCTAACACTCGTCATTTCTTGACATATTGACTCTTTCTCTTCTCTCCTCCTCCTTTTCTTCTCCTCCCCCTCCTTCTCCTTCTTCTTTCTCTTTTTCCTCCCTCAATTCCCTGTCCTCTCTCCTTTCTTTCTTTGTCTCCCTATTTCTCTGCTTTTAAGCTCCCTGAGGACAGAGGCTTGTCCTTTTTGTTTGTTACTTAAACACTTGGAAGAATGATTGACACATAGACACATATTAGGCACTCGATATCTATATGTTAAATGGATGAAAAAATGTCCCTTCACATCCCTTTTTGCCCAAATGGACAGTTTTGTAATGGAACTTGTTGGGATTCATCCAGGTAATTCATCCATGTGGTCCTCACCTTGAAGGAAAAGAGAGAGGTGACCGAGTTACTCTTGTGGAGAGATCAGTGAAGTCTCAGAAGCTAGTGGATCCTGGTGCCTCCCCAGCAGTCCTGGCAGTGTTGCTTTTCTGAATGACCTTTACTGTAATCCATCCAAGGACGCCCCCCACCCTACCCCAAATGCTGTTAGAAAGTGAGCTTTCTACCCAGGAACTGTGACTCATAATTCTGCCTAGGAAGTTGACTTCTTGAATAAGATGAGTTCTCATACCAGCCCCATTGAGTCACCATGGGAGCAGGAAACATGTTGTAATCCCCTCAGCCCATCTGGCACATATTCATTTGCCTTGCCTATGAAAAGGTGTATTGTGTCTGTGTCAGTGATGCACTTCCTAGTTGGAGGGAGAGGAACAAAAAGGAAGCATTGTTGACAAAAATAAAAGAGGCAACTGGCTTTGGACTACGAGGGGAGAAAAGGAATCGTTGCACATCCTCTTGTGCACGAAGGTACTGCCTCTTACAGCGCTGTAGATGGCGGCAGACTTGTTGGTCTTTCATGAGGCTCTTCCTGTGCATCAGGTACTCATCTTAATGGAATCAAGATCAATGTGAGGAACAAAGGAGAAATCACCTGAAAACCCTAAAGCACCATACATGCATATGATATTAGTAAGAATTTTGTCTTGTTCTGGGCCCTTCCATGTGGACCCTTCTCTTAAGGAAAGCCCCCAATTTAAAAAAGGAACCATAACAACATAAGGGGTTTAGTTCCATGCAGTGTGTTTCAAGTGCAGTGAAGTGGACTTCAAGGCACACAATTCTGACTTCGGAACATAGTTTTTTTGGCAGCTGTACTGTGATTTCCTCATTCGCTCAGGAATATGGGAGCAACATTTTCATCTCAGGTGGTGATAAAAGCAAATAATCGAAAACCAGCATTTACTTTCTTTTAAGGAATTAAAGCTAGGGTAATTATAATAGTGGTAATATAATTATAAGGTGGTAGTTATACTGGTATTAGTAAAACTCCTTTTTCTGAAAAAGCATTTTGCATTTTCAATGTCATTTGGTTCTCACACCCAAACCATGGAGTAATCAGACTGTTGTAGCTCCCTTTTTTGAGTTAAAAAATTAGGATCAAAGTGGTTAAGTGAATCACCCAAAGTCACATGGCTAATACTTAACATAACTGTGACTTCAATTAGTTCTGCAGTTCCCAAGATCCATGTTATTTTTACTAAATATACTCCCCTTGGACTCTACTAGCATATAAACAATTTAGAAAGAAGATTAAGATCCAAGGGGTCACATGTTTTGCTAACTGTTAAAGAACCACTCAGTAATAGGTTTCTGTGCTTTCTAGATAAGGAGTATCTTTACTTCCTCCTCCCCCGAGACGTTTTATTCAGGAGGAAAATCACTGTAATATAAGCATAAAATTCAATATTGCCGTTTTTTCTTGTTATAGTATTAAACACGTCCAATACTAAACTCAAAGAAGCTCTCATTTGCAAGAATTCCAAAAGCAAACTTCCACTCATCACACGTTTCTCTTTTGGTGTGTTGCATTGGCAGCATATTAGAAAGTTGAACTGTTAAAGCTGCCTTTAGAGTAGAAATAAATATTTGGAACTTGTGATTTCAAGTTGGGGAGATAGAGAGAATGGCACCACATATAATATGGCAGATTTAAACAATATTGCCATATAAAAATTATTCGCTACACAGACCACATAAAAAATGATAACAATGCGTTCCCAAAATGCACACAGACATATACACATATACAGAGATCTTTGAATATAGCTTTTTATTTCAAAGTCAACAAAGAGTTGACTGTGTGCCAGGTGCAAGGCTAAATTTCACACACACTATCATTAACTTCACAGAAAACACTGGCGGGGGCGTGCAGGAGTTTCTTACACCCATTTTATAGTTTAGGAAATGAAGAACCAGGGAGATGGCCTAAGTTAACAGTGCTCATGGTAACATGCCTGATAGAGCTGGATTTTGAAGGCTGCCTTGACTCCCAAAGCAGAGCTCTTTCCTTTATGCCACACTGCCTTCCTTTAGGACTTGGTTCTGCTAATGGAGGTAAGATCCCTGATTTCTTTTCCGTTATTTTTAAGAAATTTGCAGAAGGTGGAAATAATCTTTTGGCTTATTGAGAGTAAATTACACTATGCAAAATAAATTGGCAAAAACACTGTGGTTTACCAGGAATCAAGAATCATTGGCTTAAGTTCTGACTGTTTTCCTTTGTGAGATGTTTAACAATATTAAAGAAGTCATTTAATCACTCAATGTCACTGTATCTTTGGCTATAAACCATACTGACTAACCAACCAACCAACCAACCACAGCAAAGCCCCAACCAATTCTCCCTTCTTACTTTTTTATTAAAGAGTATTATAGGCATTATTATATATCATGGACATATACATTGTACTCTCTTCCTATTATTTAATTAAGGAATTTTTAATGACAAGTGTTCATCTTGCAATGATTTCACTTCATTATAAAGATCATGTGTTTATAAAATTTCATATTATAGAATCCAGGGTAAATAAGGAAAAGTTCTTATTGTGAGCATCTTACACTAAAGTCTGGGAGAAAGAAGAGCAAATGAATACCAAACAGAATGCCATGAGAGGGTAGAGAAAGTTACTAGTCTTGTAGGGAGGTATTGGGGAAGACTTCTCAATCAAAGAACAACTGCTCTTTTGAAGGAGAAAATACATCTCCTGTTTGGGAACAGAATAGTGCAGTGCAACTGAAGGGATAGTGTGAAGGCATTTAGAAGCCAAGCTGGAAAGGTAGGTTGGGAACAGATTGTAAAGATAGGAATCCCTGCAGGTAAAGAGAATATGTGTGTTTAATATATTT